CCCCGGGGGCGGGACCCCCCGGGGGCGGCCCTGGGGGGGGGGGGGGGGCCCCCTGCCGCTCCCCGCGGGCTCTCCTGCCGTGCGAGGGCACGGGGGCGCTCGGTCTCACGGGGGGGGGATGCTTTTGGACGTGGCAGAGCCGCATCGGCCCCGTAGGGAAGCTCTGCAGGCGCGGCGAGGCAGAGGGTGGTGGGCGCGAGGAGACGCTTTGCGCAGAAACGCTTCTCCCTTTCGCTGGGCTTGGGGCGGCGGGGCTGCGCGCTGGCGAAGGGGAAGGAGAGGTGCGTGCGTTCAGCGGGCCCCAGCCCCGAAGCGGCGTCGGGGGGTCCAGTGATGTGTCTGCACACGGGCAGCCTGGGGAGAGTCGAGCGTTCGTCACAGACTCATAGAATGCTTTGGGATGGACGGGACCTTTAAAGGCCATCTGGTCCATCCCCCCCCCGCCGTGGGCAGGGACATCTTCAACCAGGTCAGGTTGCTCACAGCCCTATCTAGCATGGCCTTGAATGTTTCCAAGGATGGGGCAGCTACCACCTCTCTGGGAACCCCCTTCCAGTGTTTCACCACCCTCATCCTGAAAAATTTCTTCCTTATATGCAGTCTGAATCTCTTTTAGTTTAGAACCATCACCCCTTGTCCTATTGCTACAGGCCCTGCTAAAAAGTCTGTCCCCATCTTTCTTATAAGTATTGAAAGGCTGCAATCAGGTCTCCCTGCAGCCTTCTCTTCTCCAGGCTGAACCCCCCCAGCTCTCAGCCTGTCCTCCCAGCAGAGCTGTGCCACCCTCGGAGCATTTCGGTGGCCTCCTCCGGCCCCGCTCCAACAGCTCCATGTCCTTCCCGTGCTGAGGACCCCCGAGCAGGGCTCCAGGGGGGTCTCCCCAGAGCGGAGCAGAGGGGCAGAATCCCCTCCCTCGCCCCGCTGCCCACGCTGCGGGGGATGCAGCCCCGGAGACGCTTGGCTTTCTGGGCCGCGAGAGCACGTTGCCGCCTCACGGCCAGCTTTTCATCCCCCAGCACCCCCAAGTCCTTCTCCTCAGGGCTGCTCTCAATGAACTCTTCAGGGCAGGGGCCGACTGCCTTTGCCAGCGTCGATCGTTCCATCTTTTGACAACGGACCAGCTGGTTGCCATTTTTGCCGTCGCTGTTGTAACCGTGTCTTATTGGCAGCTCTATATGCACGGGAAGTACTGAGTATACTTTCTCTGGCGTTAGGGTATGATTTTGGGGATGGATTGTGATAATTGGAATGTCTTCGATTCTAACAACGGCTCTGCAAAACCACCGGGCTGCAAAGAGCTCTTTTCTCTGCGTGTCTCAATGCGATCCGGCAAGGATTCCTCCTGGCTCGTTGAAATTCCGGGTCTGTGATCCGCTCGACGAAGCCTGTCTTGTTTGTGTTGCAGGAACCTTGTCCTAAGAAAGCCACATTGGCTAAAGTTGTGCCAACCCCAAATAACGGATCAGCCGAACTAGTGCCGCTCCACAGAGACCAGGTAAGGATACGGCTGTCGGGAGCAGAGCTGACATTCGTCACGCGCCAGGGAACTGCCACATCGTGCCGTCAGCCTGCAGTTTATTAGCTTTTAACTGAAGTAATATGGGAAAAAGCAGCTGCAGTCAGTCAAAAGTGGGGATGCTAAAGATTGCAGGGCGTTTCCTGGCGCGTGTACCACAAGCAGAATCATACAATAACTAAAGATGCGAGGGACTGGGGTTTCTTTCCTTCTTCAGGCCAGATTACGTGTGGAGTGAAGCCTTCGGGTTGTCTTCAGCTGGTTGTTGTTTTTTTTTTTTCCCCTCTCTGCAGGGCGAGGACGGGCAGGAGGCTCTTTCCTTTGAATTTCAGAAAATCAAATACTCGTATGAGATAGACGGCAAGAAACAGTTTCTTCCTGTAGCTTTCCCTGTGGAACATCCCCTTTGTTACTACCAGAATGCCCGAGGCTATCAGGAGGACAAAGATATCCGAGCAGCTGAGAAGAAATACGGTACAAACAAGTAAGTTTTCCAGGCGCAGATCTCTCTTTGCCGAAATAGCCCACTGGGTCAGGAACAACGGTGTTGAACCACAGTTCTAGTCCTGTTTTTTTAAATTTCAATTCCTCCCGGCACTTGCTTCAAATTCCTTTAAGGACAGAGAACAGTATCGGAGCAAGTGGTTTTCTCCAGGGTGGGCTACAGATGGAAATTAATTGCATATTGCAAATTAACTGAATCAAAGTAATTGAAAATAGGGAGATTGTGGATGTTCTGGAGCACAGCCCAGTCTGACACCAGCGGCTGCAGGTGGCTTTTGGGTTGGGTTTTTGCTGAGAATCTGGAACGTTTAGGTTAACAAGGATTCATTTCTTTCCCAGGGCTGAGATGGTGGTGCCGGAGTTCTTGGAACTCTTTAAAGAAAGAGCTACAGCTCCATTCTTTGTCTTTCAGGTAAAACGAACAAACAAAAAAAGCTGTAAATACTTCTCCCTGCTGAAAAATGAGAGAATTCCTTACAGTCCTGGCTTCAGAGCCATAAATCAGCTGGCAGCTTTCTAAAATCAGGAATAGACGCTGTTCTTGCACTTCAATCTTGTTGTGACTTCTGGGAGTGACCCTGTTTCTCCCTAAGGAGTTACTGTGATTTCTCTGTTTTTCTGGCTTCCTACAATTAAATGTGTACCAAGTTAGCTTAAAAAAAATTCCCAGAAATTGAAGGCTTTTGTTTTTTGAGGAAGATTAGAATAACTTCCCTGTCATGTTCTCCCCACAGGTGTTCTGCGTGGGTTTGTGGTGCCTGGATGAATACTGGTATTACAGTGTTTTCACCCTCTCCATGTTGGTTGCATTTGAAGCTTCTCTGGTCCAGCAGCAAATGAGGAACATGTCGGAGATTCGAAAAATGGGCAACAAGCCGTACATGATCCAGGTAACCAGAACCAGAGAGGATCGCACGTGAAATTTTTGACGTAGCTGTCTTTTAGCTGATTTGCTGTTCCTTTTTCCCATCCTTTTCCTCTGATCCTTTTCTGACGCGCGCAGGGCTTCTGAAAGTGCTGATTTTTTTTTCCTACAGGTTTACAGAAACCGCAAGTGGCGCCCCATTTCCAGCGATGAGATTATTCCAGGGGATATCGTTTCCATTGGTAATGGCTTGCATGAGGGTTGTAATCAAAAGCTTGTTTAAAATCGGATTCTTTCCGGTGCGTTAAGTTGCGCAGTAAATTGAATTGGGCATAAAAATCTGACGGTCGTGGTCAGGTGCACTTTGATTCGTAGGTGTCACAATTCAAGGGTCCAAGAGATGAATCCTTGGGCTGGATCTCTTGGGCCTGCTAGCTGTCTCAAAGAAAGGTAAAAACCTAGGTAAATCGGCCTCGGATTCTTCAGTTTAGGATTGTGAAGATGAAGAATTCCCTTCCTCCTGACAATATCTTCCTAGAATGGAAAGGGGAAGGGCAGATCTCTCTCTCAACCCTGCTCTCCCTTTCAAGGTTGTATCACCCAGGATGTGATCCCAGTCTTTGAAGCCTGAACGGCAATGAGAACGAAGTGACTCGATTTTAAATTTTCCTAGTCTCAATAGAGACTCAATAACCTTCAAACCTTTTTGGTTCTCAGCAACGCTGAGTGGGTACGTGCTGTGGAGGACTTGGCAGCCCATGGGAGGTTTGAAGCTCTAGGAATCTCCTGTATCTCAGCTAAACTTGAAGGAGAGCTGTGCCCTGCCAGACAAATAGCTAAAGAATAGTCACTTCTGCCTTTGAGCTTCTTCTCAGTTTTAATGTATTAATTGCAGGCCGATCTCCTCATGAAAATCTAGTGCCGTGTGATGTGCTGCTGTTGCGTGGAAGGTGTATCGTAGATGAAGCTATGCTGACGGGAGAGTCTGTGCCGCAGATGAAGGTCTGTGTCCTCTCTGCTGTCCCTTTGTTGCAACCTGGAAAAGTAAAAATATCCAAGCCGCTGCAGCATTTGCGAGTACAAATAAGTCTCTGTGTGGGAATGCTGGCCCAGGCAACCTGCTCTGTTTGTTACCAGCTCCCTATCAGTGATTGATGGTCTCCGGTAAATGAGAAACAGAAATGTCTGGTTTGTCTGGCAATGTCTCCAGCCTTGGGGCCTGACCTGCACCGTGTGGGCATGGCATCGCCCTCCTACACATTCCCCAGTCTGGATTCCTTTGGCTGGGTAGAGGTGGGGGGAGGAACAAGTGTAAAGCACTTCAAAACCCTGAATATTCCTTCTTTGTGTGCCAGCGGGTGACTTAAAAATGATAAAGTAATGCTTGCAGAGTCTCCCTTGCTGAATTCAGCGTGCCAAGGGTGAACTAGTCCCCCGAAACCAGAATTTCCACAGATGCCGGGCTCTAAACCCAGACCGATCGGGAGCTGAATGGCGTGTTAAGGCCTCGATGCCGTTCAGGCCACCTTCCGCTGAAGTGAAACCGAGACCATCCTGCGGGATAAGAACAGAAAGGAACGCTTGACGTTTACTTGTCGATAGCTGTGAGTCTGAGACCTGAACGTTGTCCTGCAGGAG